TGGCTAATGAAAAATCAGACTGAAAGATCTGTGGGAATAATCAGGTTCCCCATGGTCACTATGTATGACCCCCACTCATGGATGGATTAACTGTTTTTAGTCTCGGCATCAGGTGAATCTATGACCTTGGCTGATTTCAAGGCTGCTGGAATAGGGAGACAGACAGCTCCCTCATCCCTTGGGACAGAGTGTTCCCTCCATTATGTGTCCTGATCTCTAAGCTCCCATCCATGGAAGAGTCAGCATGTTCTGCATCCCTGCTGTCTGCCCCGCCGTCAGGTGTGCCTGCTTCCAGCAGCCAGCTCCTTAGGTTACTCCAACGACAGGCCTAGACTTTCCCCTTAGAACAAGGCCACTGAGAAGCTCTCACCAAGGCTGGTACTCAGAGGACACTGCTCGAATAGAGGCCCGGCACCACTGTTTTTATGGGAGTAGTTCACAGATGTTTTCTCAATCCCTTCCTCTTTCCTTTGATCTGCACAGTTGTCAACAAATGAGGTCACCTGGATTTAACAGGCAGCTGTGTAATTAGCCACAGGGTTGTAAGTTAAAACACCATCATTAAAGATTAGCACCAATAATGAGAGATTTCGTTCACGCTTTCACATCGGCTTGCCAGCATAACAGCCTGTCTGCAGGATGCCATCTGAACTTGGGCTGCTTTTTTGCTCTGTACCACCTTGTAAGTGAGAGTCAAAGAACCCTGGGGCTTAAAAAAAAAAGTCTTCCTTAGGAGATCAAGCACAAACGTCTATGTTTCTGGATGTAGGGGAAAAAACCCCCAACATAATGCCGCTTGATTGTTGGAATATTAGTTCTTACCTCCTCCAGGAGGCACATCACCTTCATCATGGCCGTCAACAATCACTGCCATTCATTAAGGGCAGGGGAACACCTGGTGGTTTGGTAGCTCTATCTCCTCTTCAAACTCCAAAGGCAAATGCTTCAGGGACCCTGCCAGAGACGCAAGGCTGGGAGGCTGGCAAACTCCAAAGGCAAATGCTTCAGGGACCCTGCCAGAGACGCAAGGCTGGGAGGCTGGTACGCAATCCAGGCATCTGACTTGCCTGGTTTTTCTTAGCCTTTTTTCTACTTGCTAATCCTCAATACCCTTTGCCACTGGGAAGGCAGCTATGCTGAGCCATTCCTGCCACGGGGCAGCTTGGCCCTCAGACCCCAGGGTCCAGGAGCTGTAGGAGAAGGGATTATCTTTACAAATTGTCACTGAGGGGTTTGGATTGGATCTTTTAATCTCCAACCCCCTGAAAGCTAGAAGCAAAAAGCTGAGTACTCCTGTCCCATCGCTGCAGGCAGAGCACTGGGGACGGGGAGCCTTCCTCTTCAGTTCAGTGTCCTGATGGCTAGACTACAGAAGTGACACAGGTCACCAAGGCCAGCCCCCTACGGCCCCATGCAGACGAGGCCTCTGCACAGAGCACCAGCCCCATGTTATTATTTCCCTTAAGGCAGAGCTGGGAGAATTTTGAGCCGGCGGTGTTTGTTCTGGAAGGAAGTGATCAAATGACAAAGGACAGAGTCAGGGACAGAATCTTCATCCTTCCACCAGGCGGGAACATCTGCCATTTGCTGAGCACACAGGCCTATTACCTCTGAACATTCTCTTCCTGACTGCCCAGATCAGACAGTGGCAGTAACTGCCCTGAGTCTTTGTTTGTCTCTCAGTGCAGGGTGCTGTGTCCTCCTGAGAGACCCAGGCTCCCCTGCAATGCCCCACGGTGGAGCTTCACTGGCTCCTGCAGACCACACACTGGAGAGAGTTGAGCCCA